ATACTTGAATTGTATGTTTGCTTTTTTTAAAAACGTGTATTTTACCGCGTCTTTATGATGTGTACAGAAAACGGAAGTATTATTGAAAAATTCATACATATTATTAAAAAAAAATAAGTATTATTGGATGACATTTGTTAGAATCTTATCATAGAGTTTGATAGATTTTTATAAACTTCTATAAATTCGAAATAATAGTGGGCCATGATGTTTGTTATATTGGTGGTAGAGATGGTAGAAGTATCAATGGTGGTGGGGAGAGTGGTGGTAATGATCATGTCAAGTAGTGGCGACAACAGTGGAGGTGGTGGTGGCGATAGCCATGGCAATATGGTGATAATAGAGGTGGTGAAATCATATATTGATAATTAAAAATATTATATCTATCAAAATCTCTGGGGAGGGGAACAAATATTTGTCATGGCCTAAAATAAGTCTAAAATCAATCGAAATTGATCACTTTTTATGTTTCCTTTAAAGTCAATGATTTTTTTGAATACACCCAAATTTTGATGTAGTCGTTTGAAATCGCCATTGAATACCTCCAAATTTGAACTTTAAAAAGTTTGAATTGAATACTGAATTTTATAAACTTGTATAAAATCTACCCTTAAACTTTGAAACTTCTTTAAAATCTCAATTGAATAAACCCTAACATACAACACTACTTTTAATAACCCGATCAGTATTTAATTATTAAATTATTCAAGTAAAAGACAATTTTACCCTGAGAATATTTTAATGGGTTTAAAGTTGACTTTTGATCCGGAAAGAATTTGGGGTTTTTAGTAGTACAGTTGCATAGAGCACGTCGAGATGAGTCCGTAGACATGTAGTGGGCCCAATTCAGAGTTGTAACGAAAAAGTTACGATTTTTTTTTTTTCATCTTTTGCTTCACGTTGAAACGACACCGTTCGTTTAAGTTTCTTTCTTTTAAAAACATATTAAAATAAACAGGGGCTGTAACCTGCTACCCGATAAACCCCACAATCCCCAATACATTAGACAATTCAAATGAAATATACTATTTTGTTTCCATTTTTTTTTTCTTTTCCCAATCTTGCTTTTTCTCTTATTTTCCATTTCAGTTTTTTCTTTGTTCCTTTTGCGCTTTACTTTGTGTTTACTTTTTATTTTCCATTTTTCCTTTTCATGTATTTTTCTTTATTACCTAGCATGTCTCCGCTATTCAAGGTCATTTGTCAGATGCTTTTCATTACCATTTAAACGAAGATGCTCGTCAATCAAAACTAGATAGAAAACATAAGTAGAAATCAATTAAAAATGGAGTTTCCTTCAATTCCTAAAGCCTCCATATATTTGAATTTATCCCTTGCTCCTCCTTCAAACCAGGAAACAACACATGAAAATGTTGTGTTTCCACACTCCAATTTCCATATTGGTTCTACCTCTGTGCAAGCTGCAAATATGCACAATGAAATCCCAGCAACTATGAACATGCTTACACCATATGCAAACTTGGTAATGGCAAGGAGGTCTAACAAGACTGCAGTGAAAGAGACCAATTTTTTCAATGCTCACTGTGTTGCTTTGGTAGAAAATGTAGGATTGCGTCTGCTAGTGAGGTACCAAAGAGTGTGCCATGTTGACTGCTCAAGTCGCATCCTTGAAGGATGAAGTTGCCGAATTGCATAGGCTCCTCAAACATGCAAACCGACATATAGAAGCACTAAAAAAGAAAAATCGAGACTTTGCTAAACTAGTGGAGGTCTTACAGACTTGTGTATCAAGAAGAGACAGATAAGGATTTGAGATGAAGAGATGCAATTCTCTTTGATAATGAACGTGAGTATTTTGTATGGTTTTATCTATTAACCATGAATTAGAATATTATCGTTTCATTTCAATGGGTCTATTTTCTATAAATTTTTTTTTTAACCTTTTACAGTTTGACCCATAGAATGAAAATTCCTAGATCCGCCATTGCTTGAACTTTGAAACTTCAGAATACACCCTAACATACAACACTACTTGTTGAACAACTCAGCTTGGAATGAATTGCCTAAAACGCTCATATCATATTTGCAATTGAACGAGAACTACCTGTTTATTATTTTATACTTTTGTGCCAGTGAGAACAAATTCAACATTAAGGGCTATAAAGTCTATTGACAAATTCGACCAACCAAAAAAATGAAGGCTTATTTACTGTAGTGCCCCCTGAAACTTTAGTCAAATCTCACTTTACTCCCTTAAAGTTAAAATGACCCAGAGTACACCCTTGAGCAAGATTTGGTGGTTCACTTTGCCCTCCACAGTTAACTCTGTTAAAACTTCTGTTAAAAATGATGATGTGGCATAAATAAGGCTTGTTCTTTTGTTAAAATATATGCCATGTAAATGCCACATACATGTGTTGGCTGCGAAAATCTCACGGCCTGGAGCTCCGGGCCGAGGGGATGTGCGTTAACACGTGACTTCCTTCTTTTGGATGCGGTGCGGTTTTGCGCGGGCGTGCCAGCACGGTCTACCGTGCGTTGAGATGGTGATATGGATGAAAATGGTTAAGTGGTGCGCCTGTTTGGGTTCGACTCCTAATCAAACGATCGTGGCCGAGAGAGGAACTGATCTCGGCCGTCAGGTTCACGGCCTGAGCTACAAGGCCGTTTAGTGGTGGTGTTGATGGTGGATTTTGGGCGTTGCTCCGACGCGTTGCTCAGGGAGCGACGGTCGTATGATATATGGGATGAATGAAAGAGTAACAGAGATGGTGCTCCGGCGCCTTGAAAATCAAGGGTCGTATGATATATTGATGAACAGATTTTCCTTACAAACTAACACTACTCCTAGGAAAGCAAATAAAGATATTGAAAGTGCATTACAGGAAAACATAATTTGCTCCGTGGGAGGCTTTGGTTTGGTGTTTGAACCCTTTGAATGTAGCTTGAACTTAGTATTTATAGGAGGAGCTCTTGAAGGAGTAATCGAGGCTGAAAATCTGCATGGTGGAACCTGATCAGAGCAAGTGGGTAGTCCAATCGACATTTGGGATCGTGAAGCATGGTGGTGTGACCCCATGAATCCTGGTAAATCTCGGCCGCCGCCCTGATCGTGGGTTCTGTGCTTCTGGCCATGGGGATGCATTTAATGCCCTTGTTTGGTGGTTGGTGATCTGACCTCAATTTGTAAGAATGTTTGTGAGCATGTTGGCGCCTAACCACTCTGATTTTTGTCACCAAATCCTGACTTTAGTCACTTCCCCTCTTCCCTCGTGCATTAAATGCCCTTTTTGCGGTTAGTGAGTTTGCTAGTCAGAGGCTTTACCTCATTAAATGAAGCGTGGGACCCTGCTATTATGTGATGATTTGACTCCTAATATCTTCGGCCGTGTCCCCTTCGTCCTTCGGCCTCGGCCTGACGATACCATGGTTGCAAGGCCGAGATGACTATGCCTTCGCAACTTTTCCTTTGTTTTGAGGAAGGCAAAAGCGCTGCGTTTTGGATCGCGAACAGGTGTTGAGGCCGAGGGGGAAAACCCCTTCGGTCGGTGTACGACCGTAATTTATCAGGCACAAACAACATGTGAAAAAAATAATGAAATATTTTATTTAAAAAAAATTAGAAAATTACATTACTTCTCTCCCCCTCTTTCTTTCTCTGTACCCGACTCCCTCCCCCCACCAACCCACTTGGGTAGCCATCATTGCCCCACCAGCTCCTCCCTTCTATCTAACCAGATTCGCAGCCCAAAAATCCACAAAACCACTCCTTCCCCAACCAAACCCACCTCCAAAATCTCAACTTCCTGTTGAAATTTTCTTGCCTACCAAACAGAACCCAAAAACTCCAAATATTTTCTAAACCATAAAACAAAAACAAAATTTAATTTATAAACAAAAGGAGCGTCCCAGCCCTCTTGGTTTTGATTTCATGAATGGTTTTGGGTATTATCCCTCTTGATTTGTATGATGTTTGAATGGGTTTGACTTTCGATTTGGGGTTGTGCTTTGCTGCTTAAAATTCAAGCACAGAATTTCAGTGATTAAAATTCAAGGACAAGAATTTCTTTAATGGCATATGCTTTGCTGCTTATCTTTACCATTAATGTTTACGAAACAAAATAAATCTTTACAACTAACCTATCAAATGAACATTTACTTGCTAAGAAATATTACAAATCCCTTTCGCCACCAACTTCTCCATCACCGCCTTCCCCAACCCCAGCCCTAGCCCTAGCCACAACAGCTGAAATGAGGGGTTGACCACCACGTCCCATATGATCGCGTTGAAAACGCCGTCCCCTGTTGCTCTCGCAAATGCCACATGCCTCTTCATCTTCTTGTACTCCATCCACAGTAGAGAGTCGGTGTGCTCCAGCGCCGTTTGGAAGGAGTGGTTTTGAGGGTTTTGGGGCGGCTAAGCTGGTTAGAGAAAGAGGAGGAGCTAGTAGGGCAGTGATGGCTACCCCAAGTGGGTTGGTGGGGGAGGAGGTCGGGACTCAGGTGGAGATAGGAAGAGGGAGAGAGAAGAGAGAAGTAATGTAATTTTCTATTTTTTTTTTCTATTTGTTAAAATTTTTAAATTTATTATTTTATTATTTTTTTACATGTGGCACTTAGGTGACATATATTTCAACAAAAGAGTGGGTCCTATTTATGTCACATCAGCATTTTTAACAGAATTTTTAACAGAGTTAATAGTGGGGTGCAAAGTGAACCACCAAATCTTTGTCAAAGGCGTACTCCGGGTCATTTTAACTTTCAGAAGGTAAAGTGAGATTTGATCAAAGTTTCAGAGGCCATTACAGTAAATAAGCCAAAAATAAAAGAAAAACAATGGCTTTTCAGTTGTTGCAGAGAATCAGATGATTTAGAAATGGAAAAAAGAAAGTGATGTCGTAATAAACAATAATATATATACATCAAGCTGTCCAGATGAGGACACGACAAAGAGTCACGTTGTCCCTCCAGCGAATCGGCGTGCTTTTGTACTTTCCTTTGTTTATAGCAACTTGTTTAGTGCTTTTGTTCTCATTGACCTTGCTCCATTTTCCAGATGCTATGTTTTCTTCTGTTTTGCTTTTCTTCTTCTTCAAATCTTTACTGGTTTCTTCTGAAATGACATCTGGGTGGAAAATCTAGCAGTATTGGCTAGGTCTGAAACACACACAGGCCCGAATCATCAATGACCATCGTCAACTGCCATTGTCAACATGTATGCGGTGGAGTTTCTCTCTCCTTTCTGATGATCAAATTTTTTTTTTTTTTTTTTCTGTTTCAAATCTTGTTTAAGTCCCATATGGATTCATCACCAAAACCAGATCATTTTATCACTTCTGCTCACCCACTGAACTGAGAATCTGAGATAGCCCCAAAAAGCTATGAATTAGCCTCTCTCCGTTGATTCATTGTGACCCTTGTAAATAGCCGACCTAATTTTTATTTTATTTTATTTTTAACTCACTTGATTTATTAGTTTTTGCAACTCAAAAACAAAGACTTTTACTTGTTCCATTTCTTCAACAAAAGTAGCACCTGGGCTTTTCCACCCCAGGCTTTGGGAGGATGGGCTTCCTCTTTCCATCTTTGGGCCTCTTGTCCTAGAGACTTTCTTTGTAATCTTTTATTTGCATATATTAGAGGACAAAAGTAGCATGCATCACTTCCAAATAGCCTCACTTTAAACTCCTCGTTGTAGTTGTAGCCGCCATATCTGCGTACGGCCGCCATTTCACTTCTCCATATCTTCGTCCATTCAGTACTTGCAGAGCGGTTTTCTAGTGGTGGGTAAAGAAAATCAGAATTTGTTTTCTAGTTTGTCACTTCCATTATTTTGTTACTCGTTTTACCAAACTCGCTTGTTTTTTCTTCCTTTTCTTTTGCGTGTAGCAGCAACTCTATGTCTATGGAATCTAGTCGGCCTGTAAATCGGGATGATATTGTGGAAGGCTTTGGCGCGCATGCACCGTCTAGCGGTAAAGGCTCACACATCCTTCACAACAACCCACAAGTTCAGAGCCAGAAGAAGACTAAGAAAGCGTAAGAACTCTATTTTTTATTTATTTATTCTCTTTTTCTGATTTAGATCAGGTTGAAGTGTTAGATTATGACCGTAATTTGACAAATTCAGGTTCTCCCTGTTTGATGAAATGCCTTAAAGGCATCTTGTTGTCAAACTTCAGTTCCCCTAATTTACACTACCCAACATTCACATATACATATATAGTTAAATGCTGAAACAATATTGACACGATTTATCTGAAGCTGAAGCTTAAAGGAAGGCCGCTGATTAGCTAGATCAGACACTCCTACTGTTGCAGCCTTCAGATACAGCTTTTTATCATTTGGCGTTTCCTTCTGAAAGCATGCATCATTGCCATTGGTGTTTGCAAAATTAAGTACTTCATTGGTCTTTGGTATTCATATGCTTTCTGCAGTGTTTCTGTTAATTAGTTGTTTGATGGTTTCTGTATCCTCGCGGTATATCCAACAAACAACAATAAGTGCATGAATTGTGGATATCATCAACATATTATATTGCTCTTATTGTGTCTCGCTTTTGTCTTGATCAAAAATTTAATTAAAGTGTTCAACTATTTCCTCTGTATAAGCAGAGTAGAGGAGGTTTTCTCTCATGCAAATTGGTTAGTTGCAGCTAAGGGCACATGAATTACTTCAGCTTTTAGATTGAAGGTGATGAGAGTGCAGTTGACGTTGGGTTTTAGGATTGTCGGACTAATTGCTGAAGTAACTCATCTGCAACTCGTGTGCATGAAAGAAAAGCTCGTGAAGGTAGAACCCTTGGTTACCACTCTCTTGTCTTCTAATTTCTACATTTTCTTCAATGTCACAGCCTTGGCCCTGCCACTTCACTCCCCAGTCCGTCTTCTGCAATGGTGAGTTTTCACACACATTCTTTCCTTTCTATTTCATAAATTCCAAAATTTATATCTTGCGTGGTTTATTAACTCAGTTTTGTATATGGAACCAAAAGAACAAATAAAGGTGATATTCATTATCTACATTATGTAATCTATGAGGTGCATTATTGTTCTCACAGTTTTGCTTGGTTTCTCCAAGAAAGACATGGTTTTGGTTGGACTAATATTCTGAATAATTACTTTCCTGCCTGCCTTGTATTCCTGGTTCAACAAATTTTTTCTATTATTACTTGCTTGCGCTTGTTGTGTACTTGTAGTCTCCAAACGATGTTCCAAATAATTACAAATTTGTGAGAATACTGATTTAATTTGTATATGTTATGATTCAACAAGACTGGCAGGGGAAAGAAGGCATCCGCCGTGCCT